TAAAATTTATTAATATTATTATGATATAATATAATATAATATAATATATATATATATATAAAATTTAAATATTTTTTTATGAATTAAAATAAATAAATCAAAAAATTAAATTTTAAATTATGTAAAATAAAAAAAGTTTATATTTTTTATTGCATTTGAAAATAATTTTGAAATCTAATTTTTGTTGTTCAGTATCTCTTTCTCTCTCTCTCTCTCTCTCTCTCTCTCTCTCTTTCGTTTAATTAAGGAATATTTTTTTAATCGAAATAATGAAATTGACGAAGTTTTTAGATTAAAGGTTGTTGAAATAAAAGTTTGTTTGATCGAATCAAAAAATATTGGACCCTAATTATGAAAAGTTTTTAAAACTAGTTATTTATGTTTCTACGATTGTATTTGGTTTGACGGGTTTTCTTGCGAATAATTTCATTTATTGTTATCATCTAATTATTCGTTCGATTGTTCCTCGAATTGTGTTACGAATAATTTATACGCGATTGAACAAAGTTTTATTAATTTTTTTTCTTCTCATCCTATATATGTCTTTCTCTATATCTTTTATTTGCTCGTTTAATTTGCAATGAAATAAAGGGAGACAGAGCGATTAGATAAAAACCTCTAAAGTTGAACTTTTCCTATTCAACGAGTTTATTCGCGTGAAATATTATTTTCGTATTTCTTATCTATTTTTTTTTTTTTTTTAAATCAGAGAATAGAAGAAAAAAAACTCAATTTTTTTTTTTTTTATTCCACTCAACTATCTATCTTTTACAATTTTGAATATTTTACTTTTATTTTGATGAAAAATATTTTTTCTTTATTTTTTTTGTTTGTTTTTTGTTTGTTTGTTAACACACGGTACTGAGAATATTTCGTTAAATATGTTTTAAAAAAAAAAAAAATATCTAACCGAGAAACGAATGACAAGGGATAGACATTGACAAGATAACAAACGTATCGTGATTTTAGATACAAGTAATTTGACGTTTACAAAGAATTGGATGAAAGTGAACGAAAAGGAAAACACAGATAGATAGATAGATAGATAGATAGATAGATAGATAGATAGATAGAAAGAAAAAAAGAGATGAGATGTTCGACAGATCCATGCGAGAGATGTTATTTCAAATAATCCTCATCATCTTCCACTCACGGATATGTTACTGACAGTAATATTAAAAATGTTAGCAAAAGTAAGAGAAAAAAAAATTAAAAAAAAAAAAAGAAAGAAAAGGAAAACCACAGAAAGAAAGAAGAAGCAAAACAAAAAAAAAGGCGGAAATGAAAAAGGAGACAAGGATAGAAGTTCGTTTCGTTTCCCGTTTGCAAATGTGTTTGTAAATATGTGTGTGTGTGTGTGTATGTATTACTACGAACACGACAAACAAGGCTCGTTCGTAGCGTATTCACGATAAATCTTTGAGACAATGTTGACCTCGTTCCTCGATGATCGATGAAAGCAGTCTTGTATGGCAAACCTGCTAGATCCTTGTTATTGAAATTTATTTGAATTCCTTTTCTTTTCTTTACTTTTTTTCTCGTTTTTTTTCTTTTTTTTTTTTTTTTTTTTTTTTTTT